GTATTTAAATATCCTTACTAAATAAGGTTCATTAAAGATGTTTTGTTACTTTCATAACCCAAATTATGCAGTTAAGCTGAAAAATTACATTTCTTAAATTTTTATTCCTTCTATTAGCTCAAACATTTAATTTTAAAATTTTATCCTTAAAAAACTCTTTAAATACCATTAAAAATTGGGGAGCTGTCGATATATTAAGCAAGTGAAAATATGCATCGCTAAAATGATTAAGCCTTCTTGGCACTTGTTGCATACCATTCCCATAATAAATACATCTCATATGTCTCCTATATTTTGGGACTTGACCTTGGAACATGAAGCAATGCCCGTCTGATTATAGGAGCTTTCCCAGTCTCTCCCATCATAATGCCTGAGTTCCCACATGGGTAAGTGTTCCAGGGTCCACACATTTGACTGTTACTGCAACCTCATCTGGATTTGATCGCGGAATATAGAATGAAGTTATGCCATAAACCAGATATGTATAAGAGACAGAGAGTGTGTCTACCACACCATGACCAACAATTGTAAATTAGCTCCTACTGAGAGGAATTATTTTGGGACACCACCTTGGACAATGAAAGACATGATATTTTGCACACGTTAAGTGAGTTCGTATAATTTCTTGATACATTTCTTGCTGGACAATTTCAGTGATGGCATATCAAATTAGGTCAGGTTTTCACAACTGAACAGTTGAACTTTGTAAATGCTGTTCATTTAGCAGAAATAAAACCAATAATACATTATCCAATAACTTAGTCCCTAAATGAAGGTTGAACTAGAATTTTGAACTGGGATGAACAATGATTTTGAAGTTGAGGGCCACAGTCACAGTGTCATTAAGATTGGCACTGAAAGTGAAACTTTGTAACATCTGATCATTTCATCAGCCAGCCCCCTATTTGTAATTGAAGTTAATGACATTCACTTGTGTTTTATATCATTCTTTCCATTATGTATGTCCTTCATTGAGGACAATGGAATTGCATTCTTCCTTGTGTTGTGTCCCATTAAACTTGTCACTTGTTGATTTTAGAACGCACATCTTACTGGCAAAATTCTGAACCATGTCTTGGTTTTTCTGTTTTGCTAATTGATCTTTGATTGTTTTTGACTAATTTGTTAAGGTGCAGCTTAACACCATTGTGTTTTCATTGTTGGTTTCAGGGTGAGAACATTCTTTTTTAAGGGAGACCCACAGGAATTACAATCACAATCGCTGAAGTTGGTTAGTGTACTTCCAATGGTTTTACTTATACAAAATCTCAGTTTACAGCTATGTGTAACTTGATAAGTTCTATTCAGTTCTTAATAAAGTCTCTGTTCAATCTTCATTGATCTACATCCTAATTGGATAATACATTTGTTTTGGTAGATAATAAAGTTATTTTGGAATTTTGAATTCTGATTTTAACCCTGTCATCAAGACCTCAAATTCGGAAAAGTTCTTTGATGGATGGAGCTGATCTCAAACTTCTTTTATTGTTGTTTTATATGGTTTGAAGGCTTTGGATACCTAAGGATAAGAATGAATGGGGCAAGTTGGATTACAACACATTAAAGAGATGCAAAATATGTGACCCATTACCCAATCTTATTTGATGTTGATTTTTCCACCCATCCCTTTATCCCTTTCTCCTTGTCCTAATAATTACTTCTCTTGAGTGGGGCGTGGCAACTGGCGGCTATCTAACCCCCTTTTCTAAAAAAAAGAAATTCTGCAGTAGTATCAAAGTTCTAATCAAAGTTTAATACCGGTTAATTTTATGGTCTTTTTTTTTTTTAATTTCAATTTGTATAATAAGAGATTATTTTCTATCATCTCTTAATTTACTCCATAAGAGTAAAGGTGCAAATAAAGATATTAATTTTATAATTTTTTCTATTTAAGATGTTAACTTTGTTAATTTTTAAATAAAAATATCAACTTTCAACTTTTTTAATTTAAAGATGTCAACTTTTATTTTTGTCTATTTGAATATGTTAACTTTTAACATTTTAGTAAAAAAATACATTTACCACATTAGTGTTATTATCAAATTAATCCTTAAATAAAAAAAAGTTTAAAGTCGATATATTTAAATAAAATAATTGAAAGTTAATATCTTTAAATAGAAAAAATTAAAAGCTAACATCTTTATTTAAAAACTAACAAAATTAACATTTTTTTAACATCTTTTAATAAAAAAAAATGCAAAGTTAATATCCTTATTGACACTTTTTTTCTTAAACCTAAAACCTCTTTTACAAGGAAATTAGCACTAAAACACAAATTTCACTTTATTTGGCACATTTTTGTCATTAATTGATAAATACAAATCTGTTTCGTAACCTCGTGTTTGTGTTATGAAATATTTATTATATAATCCAAGATTTTTTTTCTATGCACTTGACTGATGAGTGATGATTCTCCATCAAACATAGATTACTATGGAGTCAAATGATTGTACCAACCAAGTGACTAAACTAAAAGACCAGATTCACAAAATTACATCATTAAAGAATATTCCTTCATTAGATAATTTATACAATGTTGTGATTTTGTTCAAATTCAGTGCATGCCTTCGCTAATGGTCATTAATTATATAATTGCATGCAGTGTCTATATTTTACACAATAATTTTATTCAAGAGCTAACACACCCTTACTCATTTTTCTTAAAGATCATATTTTACTGTTGAAATTTATAAATTTTTTTCTTTGATTCCTCAGGAAAGTTGGACTGCTTACCTATTTTAGAATTTGAAGCCTTGTTCTTGATTTCAGAATTGACAATATTTGTTGGAAAAAAAAAATCAGGACGTTTTGATTTTTCATAATTTTATATTTGTTAATAATAACAATATAATATTAAATTAGTAAATGAATGTATATTGATTTCCATATTTCACTAAATGAAAAGAGATAATAAAGATGTTATTAATAAACATTGTTTATGAATCAAATAATTCTGAATTGATGGGTTGCAATTAGTGTATGCTTAGATGGTTTTGTAATTAGAAATTTGGAAGGAACGAAGGCAAGGGGAACATGTAGTTGTTGCCTTTTGCTTGGACTTGAACTTTCTTTGGAGAGTCACGTTACACCCATTTGATCATCATATGATGCATGTAGACACACTCAACTAATAAAGCTAACGAGGGTAATATATTTAGAAAAGAAAAAGTGCAATAGATGATTGTAAAATACTAATAATTAGATTAAAAGGACCCCTTCAGTCAGTGATCAATTATAAAATATCAAATTTATATATTTTTGATTTATTTTTTAAAAAATAAAAAAAGTAAATTTTATTTCAATCATAAGCCAACACAGTGCTGTAAAAATAAGTTCAAACTTTTCTAGAATGTTGTTTGGGTAACAACTTTCCCATGGGTGATGAATATGAAATTATGACATTGAGTTTTCTCTTCTAATTCCTTGGGAACCAACTTACATTTCTTTTTAAAAAATAAAATAAAATAAAGTTTCACACTTAGGAAAGCTCGATGTGTTAGTTTGAAATGGTTAAATTTAGAAGCATAGAGTTCAAATATGAGAAAGAAAATGAGAACAAGTTTGGCAAAAGAGAATTATTAAGGACTTGGTAAAAAAAATTATTGTTATTAGGATACCCAGAAAAGGAAATAGATGTACACAGAAAAAACAAAACAACAAGAAAAATAGAGACAATAAAAGAAGCACCGAATTAAGGGCAACCACAAGTACATGTGCCATTACTCATGATAAATCTTTTTGTTAGATAGAAACATGCATGTGGCATGTCCCAAGTCCTAACAAGCAAAGTGTGGAGACCAAGGGTCCAAGGACATGAAGAAGTGAGCTAAAAAGAATGCATGCTTCCAACCTCCAAAGTAATTGCCGAATATCTATATGTCTCAATTTGATTGGGGAGCCCGTGAAGACTCTGAATAAATCCCGTGAATTTCTTTTCTTCCGTTTTACTTCACGTTTTTTTACAACACTATATTATGTATAGTCATAAATTTACAATTATTACATTAGATTCATATAATATTATAGATAAATATTTTAATAAAAAAATTAATTATATAATGATATATCATAATTATATTATTATTATTTATTTTTGTTTTGGTTTCCTTATTAAGTATTCATTTTCCCTTTTTATCGTAAAATTCCCTACTTTAATTGTCTTCTTCTTCTTCTTCTTCTTTTGAACTGAGAAAACTTTGGGTGGAGGAGTGAGTGTCTAAGTTTGAACTCAAGATTTTGATGTTTGAAGCACCGTTTCTCTCATAGGATGGCCACTAGGTCAATTAATGATGACGTCTTCTTCTCTTATCAAAGGTATTAAACATTGAAAAGAATTTGGGAAGAGGATGGATTAATGACCCCCCCAAAAAAAGGGTCTTTATGCATATTTATTTTTTTTTTTCCTGTCAACGATCTAAATAGTTCCATAGTCATTTCTTTTCAGTGAAGGTGAGAGATTTTGAATCGCATGACATACAAGTGGGATGAGATAAGAAATTGGAGATGATTATTTTTCATTATACAAAAAAAAAATCATTTTTTTGCTGTAGATAGATTAAAAAATACGGTGAAAGTAGAGATGCACCACTTAGCTTGAAAAAGCCATGTATACTTCTATCCCTTGACTTCTGAAGTTATAAGTTTAGGCATGAAGTAACTAGGGTCGGAGTCTCGGTGGCCCCCATACTTGGTGACACAGCAGTATTAGGTAAAAGTCTACTATAACAGGGTGATACAATTTGAGTGTTATAAGATGTTAATAAATTTTTGATACATACAATAATTAATAAAATAATAATTAAGAAAATTATTTCTTTTTTCATTAAACTTAGTGTGAATTAGTATGTAACATCACTTTTAATAACATATTTAATTGTCATTCACTTATTTTTCAATAAACTTAAATATCATCATTACATAAAAAACTTTATCCAACAACCATAAAGTTGGCGCCACATAAAATAAGGCAAGCACACACTATCTCTTCACCATAGTTACATACATTAAATTTTTAACATGGAGGGAGTGTGCATTAGGCTGAGATTATTGTTACAATAACTTTTGTTAAAACTATTAATTTAATTATAATTTTATTAATTTATTATTTTTTAAACAATTAATTATAATATCTAAAAATATTTATTTATAAATTCATTATTTTAATCTATTAAATATTAAATATTAACTATTTTATTAATTACCTATTATTTTTAATAATTAAATTAATGTAAAATTTGAAAAAAAATTATCACCTTAACAAAACTTATTGCCAGGGTGCAACTCTAGTTCTAACTTCTAATTGATTGGATAAGCAGAAGCATGCACGGGCTTCACACGTTTTTTTATTTAACTTTGGGCCTATTATACTGTTTGGCAAAAGATGAGGACTTATTAAAATATAAAATCATAGTATAGGGTAAAACTTATAAATATCTGAACTAATTTTTTTTATACATCTAATAATAGATTCTAAAAAATATTTTACATGATAAATTATATGTAATTTATTTTATAAAATTATTTAAATATCTTTAAAAATATAAAAATAAATATAAAATATTTAAATAATTTTACAAAACAAATTAGGTATAATCCATCTAAGACAATTTTTTCTAATAAATTATACAAAAAATTAATCCCCTTATTCCCAACTCCCTTAGTTTTCTTCAAATATCATCATAAGAAATATCACTGCTTAATTAAGAAAAACGCGTATCCTTTATAGCGTTGCGAAATTTTCCCACTCTGCCACCCTACCATTTCCATGCTCTCTATATATACAACCACTTCCCCACCCCCAGCACCCAACCTAAACCTAACAAAACCTGACGCAAACCCAATGGCTCTTCTCTTCACTTTCTTCTTCCTCCTTTGCTTCTCTCTCTCCACCGGAGAGAAAACTCAAAACGCCACTCATGTTTCTTTTTCATTTCCACTTTCCTCTCGTCGCCTCTCCCCTCGCCCTACTCCGGCAACTAATTTATACCCTTCTTTTGTTTCAAGCCTTAAGCAAAACCCAAGAATCAGACCGTCGAGTTCTTACAATTTCAGGTCAACTTTCAAGTATTCAATGGCTTTGATTGTGTCGCTCCCAATTGGAACCCCACCGCAGACTCAACAGATGGTTTTGGATACTGGGAGTCAGCTGTCTTGGATTCAGTGTCACAATAAGGTGGCCAAGAAGCTGCGGCCGCCGCCTACTGCGGCTTTCGATCCTTCGCTTTCCTCTTCTTTCTCCGTTCTTCCGTGTACCCATCCCGCCTGTAAGCCTCGAATTCCTGATTTTACCCTCCCAACATCATGCGACCAAAACCGTCTGTGTCACTACTCCTACTTCTACGCGGACGGTACGTTGGCGGAGGGCAATCTCGTCAGAGAAAAATTCACATTTTCAAATTCTCAGAGTACCCCTCCCCTGATTCTCGGTTGCGCGGAGGACTCCGCCGACGGCAGGGGCATTTTGGGAATGAACCTCGGACGGTTGTCCTTCGCCTCACAAGCCAAAATTTCCAAGTTCTCATATTGCGTACCTACCCGGAGCATCCGACCCGGGTATACACCGTCCGGATCATTCTATCTCGGGGAAAACCCGAATTCATCCGGGTTCCGGTACGTTAACCTTTTGACTTTCCCTCAAAGTCAAAGAATGCCGAACATGGATCCTCTAGCTTACACTCTTCCGATGCAAGGAATCAGAATTGGCGGTAAAAGGCTGAACATCTCCGCCGCAGTTTTCAGACCCGACGCAGGCGGGTCAGGTCAAACCCTGATTGACTCCGGATCCGAGTTCACGTACCTAGTGGACGAGGCGTATGATAAAGTGAGGGCGGAAGTAGTTAGATTGGTGGGACCGAAGTTAAAGAAGGGTTACGTGTACAGCGGGGTAGCCGACATGTGTTTTGATGGGGACGCGATGGAGATCGGACGGTTGATAGGAGATATGGTGATGGAATTTGAGAAAGGGACGGAGATTGTGATTGCAAAGGAAAACGTTTTGGCTGACGTGGGAGATGGGGTCCATTGTGTGGGGATCGGACGGTCAGGAATGCTCGGGATTGCCAGCAATATAATAGGTAATGTTCATCAGCAAAATCTCTGGGTGGAGTATGATCTAGCGAATAGGAGAGTTGGATTTGGTAAGGCCGATTGTAGCAAAGCAGTGTGAGACTGTGATGTCATCGGACGGTAGACGTTAAAATCAAATGCCACGTGGCGGCAGACGAAATGATGTTGTAAATTATGTTATTATGGTTCAAGGGAAGTTTGAACCTTAATATCAAGTGAGTAGTGTGTATATAAGAGGATTAAAGTACTAATAATATATTTTTGTTCACTTTTCCTGTGATATTTGGAAGAAAAATATTGAGTTGAGGAAATATCATATATTTGATATTTTATCTATTTAAAATATATTAATAAAATACATGGTTTTGCATTTTGTTTTTATTTATAATTAAAATGTTTTTACATCGACTTTCATGCATGATATGCATTTTTTTATCTTAAGGATGCATTCTCATATTAACTTGATATATTTAAAAAATTAATTTTTTATTTTTTTAAAAATTTAAATACATATTTATTAATTAATTTAACTCTTAAATTAGTATTGCATGGTTATTGTCTTAGTAACTCTTGATCTAAGCTTCTAAATATTTTGAGTTGATACATTATTATATTAATATCTCTATAAGATATTGCCATACATTTATATGAATGAATAATGATAGAATCTATCTTTCATATCTAATAATTTATTTTTAAATTTAAAAACTTAAATGTAAGTAGTTAAAAATTTAATTTTCACCAACTGTTTAAAAATTTTTTCTTCCCTATAATTCTCTATTTAAAAAAAAAAAATACCTATATGAATGACGCGCCATATGTGCCAGTCAAGTTTCAAAAATTTCTCTCACAGCGATACATTAAGTACATTCCAGCTATTAAAGATTTGGATGGGTAAGTAACAAACATATAAAAGAAATTATAAAATCCACAGTTACTAGGATGACCAAATAGAAGTAATGTTTGTAAAAAAGGACAAACTTGTATCTCAATTAGAGCAGCATTCTACGTGCGTGACGCAACGGTCATTTGTTTTCTTTTGAGGTAGGTCGTGATTTGCATTTCATATCACGGGTTTAATATCCTCCCTACACACTAACACTTCTAATACATTAACACTTTTAACTATTGTCTTTTTCAAAGAAAAAAAAAATTTAGAGCAGTGCTAGGGGCACTCGCCCCTTGCACTCTCTTGCCAATACTTCCCCTTTCATTGGGCCACGTAAACTTGTTTTTCAGCCCTCAAGTGCAACTTCTTCAAAACCGAAAATAACGTGACCCAATAAAAGTGAAAGTGTTTGCCGGAGAGTGCACAAGGCGAGTGCCCTTAGCATTGCTCTCTCAATTATATTAAATTATTAATCCTTAAAGACGAGCTTGCAGAGACCCTGGAAGACTGATTTTTCGAGAGTAGTTAATTCCCCCAACAAACCTCGTGATGAAGATATTAAAGAAGGGGAGGGGGGAAGGGTCCAGTTTTAGTTGAATGCAGGCCAGGTGGACGACAGCTTGTTCCAACTTCAACTTAGTAGTACAACTTGGAATTGTATTGACCTATTCCCGACACTCCAACATTAATAAAAATGTTTGATATTTTCTTTATAGCAGGAAGTTTTCGAAGAAAAATAACCTGAATATAGAATTTAGGTTTTTAATGTTTGAGTACTTTT